AGGTAGAGTCCACAGGCCACAGCATATCCTCCCCAGTTAGACACCCCTGCAGCAGCATGGGACAGTTGTGATGTGACAAAAACATTACCGAGTTCCTTTCCTAATCAAGACTTCATCAACACAACTGAAATATGTGCAAATTGATATAAGATATAGGGGCAGTGCCATAATCTGGATGGAAGTAAATGATGCCCTCCATTGATGCATTCAGGTGAGTAAAGGACTTAAATGACCACATTGTCACTTTGTAACTAGTTCCCCTTCATGACTGCGTACTTATTATCTAGGAAAGCATCTGGAGCTGAGACATCATCGATGTCTGTGTTTATGAGCATTCCTGTTTTGTGTATATGCATCCATGACTGCAGTAACAGTACAATGCATAGTGTTTACTTTGCACAGATGAGTGAGTGAGTGAGTGAGTGAGTGAGTGAGTGAGTGAGTGAGTGAGTGAGTGTAGATCCATACCAGCAGTAATAGCAAAGTCAGCAGGAACATCACAGGCTATAAGACTCCCTTTGGGCATCAGGTCCTTCACCTTCTCCTTCACTTTACCCATCCCCAGCTCATTACCTCCATCACCGATCCCTACAGTAACAGAGAGAAGAATAGTTTACATAAATTGCAACTAATTTATGACAGTAAGTTTTGTAAATGTTTTGTATTTTGTGTGATCATCATAATGATTTGCCTGTTTAACAAAATATACAGAGTAGTAATTTTAAGAGAGGTGTTGTTATTTCATATATTCTTTTGTGACAGTAGCAGACCCCCCAAATGAAATTATTATTCTAACTAGTGTGCAAATAAAACTTTCTCATTTAGAAAAACATGCAGTTTAATTTTTGTTTAACATGTTTCTTTTGATTTATTTACGATAAAAATTGCCTAAATGGCTAAGGTTCATTATTGGTCCCAATTTGCAATCATGAACTGCATAGCAATAAGGGGTAAAATAAAAAGTATAAAAAAATGCTACCTACCTGTAGTACTAATTCCTGGGATGTCCTTGGCAGCAATAAACAGGTCATCGATGGGATCCACCAGATGTTTGATGTTTATTGCTCGCATGTTGTAGTAATTTCCATCTGCAGCCCGTCCACTGCGCTCTATCGCCAACAGGTGGTCGTACCTGATACACAACATCAAATCCACAGTTCTTTTAAACAACCGCAGCTGGGAAATAGAGTACATGAGAATAAAATTCGGCTTTTAATGTAATTAATGTATCTGTAACAGCAGAAATGTGAGCATTGATGTTATGCTTGTTGTCTACGATTGTCTGAGATTCCTTCCTCTGAGTTGATTAAATACCATCACACAGCAGCACGATCAATACATTTATAGATAACCTGGGTTTGCTTGGGTCTCCATGGTGACACAAGAAGTGCAGTGCAGAGTCTGGACCACTATCCTCATATGTGACTAATGGGATTGTAGTTTTCAGCACTCCTGAGAGGGACATTAGAATAAATTTAATATGTAGTGGTCTTATCTTTAAGACGTAAAAACAAATTTATCATCAATGGCAGTAATAAAGGACAGTAAAAGTTTGTGTTGATTATGGTGGAAGCTTCACTTTAAAGTTCACAGATCAGAATTAAAACTCTCCCCCACCTGTGCTCACTGCTTCATCAATGAGGGCCTGGTTCATCTCCACGGCTCTTTTGTCCGTCAACATTGTCACCTTTTTCCCTAAAGCCAGCAGCATGGTTGCTATGGCAATGGCTCCAGGTGGTCCATCTGTCTCATCTGGAGGGCTAAAGGAGAAATACAAATAAAGAATAAGAACCCGGAATAACACTTTTAGTAGAATGACTTGAACCGCCACAGTTTTCTGTCTTAGCTGAGGTTAAGACTGTCTGTTTCCACTTCGGCTCAGGGCAGGTCACACTATCAATCCATATCAGAGTCATTGTTTATTCTCTGCTTCTCTTGATCATACATCACATATCCTACACACTCACCAACAGCTAGCCTGAATGCTCTAGTTGGCTGCAGTCACCTGTGAGTGCTGTATCTGATCTCCCCCCGTTCTCACTTTTGGTTATTGTTAATAAAGGTCATGCTGTATGGGAGGACCACAGTACAGNACTGTGCTATTCTGAAAATATGAGTCAACGGGAGTTGTTCAAGGGTTTTGCGTGCTGGAGCCTTGTGTTGCTTCCAGCAGTCTTGTGATGATGTCAGAGTGAGTGGGGTGAAAGGTCAAGCCATCCACCTCCATGGCGAGGTGAGCAGTTTTCCCACTACGGATTCCAAATTTCACCAGCGTTGAAAGGAAAGACTCCTCCTGGTGTACAAAAGGAGACAGACATTGAGAGTGTAAATGGCAGCGGCAAAGATGTGCAATGTGTCCAAATTAGCATTCGTTTGGACGAGTGTTTCTCTGGCGACCTGCCAAATGGACTATTCTTACTGTTCTAGCTCTGTTTTTCTTTCCACCAACAACTAAAGCAGATATCTAGTTAAATAGCTGTTATGTGGCTGTTCAATGCTCCACTTTGTTCCCCTGCTTATCCATAACCTTGCCTGTGTGCTGTCTGGTGTTAAGCAGGAAGTGTGCCATGACTTTAACAGAATATTTCTGTGCAAATTCTGCCAACTGCTGGAAAATGGTTTGTCTTTGTGTGTAAACATAAAACATCTGAATTTGCAGGAAACCAATTTTCTGCAAATAAAACTGGTTTCCTTTTGACTTTCTGTTGTCTATGTGTGTTGTCCTGTGAACCAGGCACATTGGTGCATTGGTATGCAATTGCAAAGCCTTCATCATCCTAGTCTCAAATTGTCAACAGACATGGAGAACATATGACACTGTCTGAATCTTTATGCATCCTGATACTGGCTGTAGTTCACTACCATGGTGGAAGTAATTATGTTTTATTCATTTTTGCCTTTATGTCACAGGTACAGTAGAGACAGACACAACATGTAGGGAAAGAGAGGCATGCAGTAGGTGTCTGGTCTGCTGGGAACTGAACCAGGGACTTGCTGTTGACAGCATGTGCACGAACATGGTATCACCCAACTGTCTCAACTATCATGGTGTCTTTCCAAAAGGGGGTTCAGAGAGACAGCAAAATAGTGAGAGTTCACATTCCCTGTGGAATTCAGATTATTAACATGACTGTCTTGAATAATTTTCTGCTGAACATAATTTTGATTTTAAAAATGCACAAAACTGATTAAGAGGAAAGTGAGAAAGCAGAAAAGTCCTGACAAGAAAGATGAGAGAAGTGTTTGATGTATGTTACCTTGTCCACTGATGGCAGGTTAGCAGTCCAGTCCTGCAGCTGTTCTTGGGGGATTACACGGTGCAGTCCCAATCCCTTCTTCAGGTATCGCTGGTGTGAGGGGCAAGTGTGGAG